ATTCTTTAAAAATTTTTGTCTTTAAAAAAGGAATACAACTCACTTACTATGAGAATCTTTCTATAATTATTTTTAAAGACTGATTCTTTATGTGTAGATATGTGTACCTATATGAGTTTATGTGTACCATGTGTATGCAGATGTCCTTCATAGGTGAGAGGACATCAGAACTCCTGGAACTAGATTGACAGGTGCTTGTTATCCAGCTGATGTGAGTACTGAGAACCAAACATGGGTCCTACAAAAGATCAGCAAGGACTCTTAAATACTGTACTGTTTGTTCCATCTTGCCTCCCATAAATACGTTTTAAATTAGGCATACTCACGAAGGGTCATTAATGACTGTCCTCAGGGCAGTGAGAAGATCTGTAGTTGACAGTGTGCTGTAGTCCAATCTCACAGCTGCTCCTTTGGCCACCATGTGAGCAATGTTATCAGGTTGATCCGCAAACAAGGGAATGCCCACCACAGGAATACCATGGTAGATTGCCTCATACATGCCATTAGCTCCTCCATGAGCTATAAAAGCTTTGGTTTTTGGGTGGCCTACAATGCGCAGAATTTTCACAGGATTGATTATTTTATTACAGAGAAATTTAATCTAAGGATTAATGAGAGGTGGTGCTCCCTAAAAATCATATTATTCTAGTCACAAAATTATAATAAAATTGCTTCAGAAATTTAAGTCAAGAAGCTCTTAAATACATGGGAAGAGGAAGACTGCCTGCAAGAGGTAGTATATGACTCCAGGAAAAAGGAAAACAAGATTTCCAGATGAAGCAATGAAAAATGCTATTTTGCATTAAAGAAGCATTGTGTATCAATTGAAAAAATATCCCTGTGTGAGGTGTTCAAGATATTTTCTTAAAAAACAGTGAGAACATTATGTCTGGTGGAGTACAAGCCAGTGAGATAATGGATAGTGGAATCCAAGGAAAACCAGGCTACATTTCCTCAACATAAGTTAATCATTCATGTAGTAAAGACTATGAATTTCTTTGCACAGAAAATGCTGTACAAAAGACTGTTGTTTCCAGTAGCATATGAAATAATATTCTAGTAGGAGTAGGAATCATGAAACAAGAAACAGGAGCAATCCAATGATTCCCTGAATAATTCTTGGGGAGGTGATTACATAGCTGAACTAAAGATACTTTGATTTTAGCCATTGGGAAGATGATGTATAATAAAATGACAATGTTTTTTGTTATTTTCCATTATGTAATTATGAAAATAAATATAAAACATTTACAATATGTTTGTGCATCTTCTTTGTCAGTTGTTGCCTTTGTTTTTACTCTTTATTGACTTCAGTCTTACCGAGAAGGTCATTCTGGGGGATCCACTTGTACAGTCGAGTATTGGATCCTAGGGTGTCTGGTTTCTTGCCATCAAATCTCCACAGAACCTGTTACCCACAGAAAACCTCTTATATCATATTCCAAGTGACAACACGTTTTAATTTGTAGAAAATTAATCAGTTTATCCAGCTGAATATCATTGACAAAGTAATTAACATAGGATGTTTAAAAAATTGTGTTATCATATACAATTAAATACTATACTACATTTCTGAACGTAATTTTGTCATTACTTGATCAAAATATGTAATCACAGTATTGTAGAAGTATGATGATTAATGACCAGTTAAAGTATGCGTGACATTTTTGGGCAGATGATAGAATTCTGATGAGGAAAATTGTAGCCAGATAGCAATAGCACTTGTATACAATTGCTATATATACCCTAGCTCTATTTTATAAATTTAATATTACTTTGTTCATTTCTTTTTGAGTCATGGGGGAAAGTTTTACATTTATCTGTACTTTACTTTGGGCACATTACTATTAGGTTACTTTTGTTTTATTTATTTTTGGTGTATGAGAGCACCCATGGGCACATTGCTTTTTGAGGCCGAAGAATGCATTAATCTCCTGGAGAATGCATTAATCTACTGGAACTGGAGTCATGGACTCTTGTTAGCTTCAATGTGGTTGCTGGGAATGGAATTTGTTTCTTCTCCAAGAGTAGACTGTGTTCTTAAACACTGAGCCATCTCTCCAGGTTCCATCAGGTTTCACTTTATATATAATAATATCTAACAAAAAATCTACTATTTGTGAGAAAAAAGTTCATTCTCATTAGGAAGTACAGTCATTTATGTTTAGCTAAAAATTATTAAAGACTACTCTAAGAAAAAAAGTCAACAGTAATATTTTTAGTTTTTCTGTTCATCTAAATAATTTTCATATCTAGTACCAAAAAAGGAACCTGAGGTTTCAGTTAATAAACAATAACTAAAAATTAAAATATAAATTATAATTTTCTATCTTCTCTATGCATTGTGCCTGGTAGAGTTACTTTAGGTTGGCATCAGAAGTTGCCTTCATGATAAATTTAAGTGTTTATCAGTGTGCTGGATAGTTTAGTGTCAATTTGACACACCTGGGTTGAGGGTGCCTCAATTGGGTAATTGCCTCCATTGAACTGGCCTGTGGCCATGTCTATAGGGCATATTCTTTATTGTTGTACGATGTGGGAGGGCCCAGCCCACTGTGGGTAGTGCCACCCATGGACAGGTATACCTGTGTTGCATAAGAAAGCAGGATGACCATGGGCCAAGAGAGCAAGCCAGTAAGTAGTGTGCCTCCATGGCCTGTGTTCCAGCTCCTGCTCCCAGGTTCCTGCCCTGAGTTCCTACCTTGGGCTCCCTGATGAACTGTGACCCAGGATATGTAATATAAAAGAAATCCTTTCCTCCCCAAGTTGGTACTAATCAGAGTATTTTATCACCGCATTTGAGAAACTAGAACAATTAGAGAATAAAATAAAAGTCACAAACACTCATTGGATGCCAGTCTTTGAACGGGAGTTACTAGTACATTTTTACTAGTAAAATTTATGGAGTTGTGGAATTTTGAATTTTTTCCTCTGTCATACTTGCTTCCCCTTTAGTCTACTGAGATTCCTTTTTCTTGCCCAAAGAGAAGTAGGTGTTACTCTGATGTATTAGAAGAGTTCCTGTGGTACTGTTTACAATACAGTGGGTCCACTTCAGTGCCATGACATACTCACCGTTTCTATTATGTTTTCCTACTTCCATCTTCCCCCCTGCAGGGGGTTTGTATTCTTAGGTGGTGAACTCTGGACTACTTTTCCCTTAACCTTCTGAATAGATCACTGAATTGGCCTATTCTAAAATACTTTAATTATATTAGTAAGAATATAGAATACAAAACTTCTTTGATGATATTCTGCAGTTTCCAGACCCTGGGTACCATTACTGTGCAGATGTAACCACAAATTAGCATTTAATTAATTTTTAATAATGTTTTTAGTTTTACAATGTCTGTAGCAATCTTGGAAGGAAATGGAAAGCATGTCTGTGTAGAATTGATCATTTCTGTGTACCTATCTATAATACCATTTTATTCCAACTTCTTAATGTATACACAAACTATAGCCTTCCTCCTTCCGTTCTTTCCTTCCTCTCTCTCTGTCTCTTGTCTCTGTCTTTGTCTCTCTTGTTCTCTCATCTCAGTCTCCTTCTCTCTCTCTTCTTATTTACTAATCAAAACCAGATTTTCTAAAATTTTATCATCTACCATATGTATTTTTCTTATCAAAATGATTTGTGAGATGAATGGGAGAGATACAAATATTTTACTTTGGGAGTGAAGAGGTGATTCAGTGGTTCTGAGCACTGGCTACTCTTGCAGAGGACCTGGGTTTGATTCCCAGAACCCACATGGTAGTTAACAACCATCTGTAACTCCAGTTCCAGGGAAATCCAACACCCTCTTATAATTCTCTGGGCATTATACAACATAATGCACTTATACACAAGAAGGCAATACATTCATAAACACAAAATAAAAATAAAAAAATTTTTAAAATATTTTACTTTTCACATAAAATTTTCCATACCCAAATCCTTACGGAGTTCAATAGACTTCTATCACAATTATCCACCCAGTGGATACTTTCTCTCACCTTTTGTGGAATCTGTGCAAGGGCTGATGCCACTACGTTGGCTCTTTCTTCTGTCATATTACTGACCATTGACCCCAGAGTAAACACAACAACACCATGTTCTCCAGAGCTCTGCACAAAGTCCTCAATTTCCTGTGTAGAAAGAGTGTGGGTCACCACAAATGAACAGCAGCACAGAGAGCCCTCTCTTAAGGCCCACTACAAGCCATATGGAGGGGAAATGATGTGCTATCTGCAATTTCCTTGATTTAGTTACTCATTTTCTTTGGGATCACAGTTGCGGTATGCTATACATGACCAAAATAAGTAAATTAGAGGTGAAACACTCATATTACTAGATTTCAGTGAAATTTAGAGAATCATTAGGGAAAGTTTTTAAAAATATTTGCCAATATGTATTAAAATCTGGAAGCAGTGAAAGAAAATTTCTGGACACTAATAACCTATGAAAAGTGAACCAAAAGTATATAAAAGCTATTGAGTATGTCCATATAGATCAGTATCAAGTAAGATGTCAACAATATTTGTGAGAGAGCAAAAAGCTCTGCTTACAGCAAGTTTTCTCATTGATGAATAGCACATGACTTTAAGGAATATCTAATATCAATGCTAATTTGGCTGCATTCCTATGAAAGTGAAAAGAGAAGGAACACTGAAAAACTCATCTTACAAATTCAGTATTTCTGTGGCTAAGAGCTGGTAAGAAAACAGCATTGAAAACGACAGTCCAATTCACATGGTTAACATAGTTGCAAAAAAAAAAAAGAAAGGAAAGATGTACAGAATGATTGTAAATCAAATTCACTGCCATATTAAAAATATCATAAACCATTATCAAATTGATTTCATTCCAGTGATGATGATTTAAAAAGATTAGAAACAATAAGTTTAACAGTATGAAATTAGAAGTTGAAGACAGCACTTCCAATAAACAGTAGTGAGACTTCTTTATATCCACATGTAGAGCTTGATGTAGAACCCATCTCTCATGCTATGCAAAATGTATCTCAAAATGGATCAAAGATCCCTGCATGTGTAATGAAAATTTACAATGACTTGAAGAAAATCTTCATGATCTTAGCAAAGAGGAAAGTATTTAGATTAGAATGTCACAATCCAAAGAAACTTTAGCCACTTCAAAAATGCAACTCAAAAAATTAAATCAATTACATCTCATTCCATTAGAATGGCTGTCACAAATTTAAAAATTCCAAAACTCCCAGATATGTCATATAAAGCAACATTTATATATTTTATTTGTACATATGAAAATTATATACCCAGTATGGAAAACATTAACATTTCCTCACACAAATAACATTAGAACTAATGCATGATCCATATATTATCTTTCTTGACTGATACATCTGAGGGAAATTATCAGCAGGAAAAAGAGAATTATGTATACCCATGTTTCCCGGAGAACTATTTGAAATTGCTCAAATATGGAATGCACCTAGGCTTTGATCAACTGATAAATGCACAGAAGTATTATTATATTTACATAACATTGTATTATTCAGCCATAACCAATAATAAGATCATGTCATCTTAAGGAAAATGACTGAAATTAGAGCATATCTCATGAAGCAATAAACCATACAAAAAAGCAGTATTTCCTAATTTGTTTGAAATGTTGAAACCAAATAAAAATACCAATAAAAGCTCCTGAGGTAGAAGGGAAGTGAAAGCCACCATTGGGCACAGCTTCCCTGACAGGTTGACAGAAGAGTCTGTCAGATTCCCTGGAACTGGACAGTTGTTAGCTGCCTTGTGGGGGGTGGGATTCAAACCTGGGTCTTCTGCATGGAACAGTAGGTGTTCTTAACCACTGAACCATCTCTCCAGCCCCCTTTGCTTACTATTTTTATGTAAGTCTAAGCAATTGATGACCCCTAGCTGCCTGCATGGAAACTTCTTTCAGTATCAAAGTTGGTCAAGAGGAATGAAGCTTCCAGGACATTATTTCTCTTGTCAGAGAAAGAGCAAGGAAAATGGAAGAGCAAGCACAGAGATATCGGGAAAGCAAAATCCCAAGACAGGGATAAAGTAGGAAACAGATGTTACCAATGAGGAAATGGGGAAAATGGGGCTATTCACCTGGAAAGGCAGGAGAGGGGTACTTACAAAGAAGCTTGGGAGGTAAGGGGAAGAAGGAACTCAAGAGACTGGGGAGACATAAACTGGGGAGGGAGGAGGAAGGGTTGGATAGGGAGAGAGATAGGAGAGATAAATAGAGCTTAGGGAGCATGAAAAACTCAGAAATAAGTTTATTAACTAAATTCAACCCCTCCTGAAAAATACACATTAAATATCAGAATATGACTGAAAGTGTCTACCTGAAGGCTGAGGACAAAAGAACACAGTACCTGATAGGAGAAACCTCCCTCTGAGTTGTTGGTCAAGGTGAGCCAAGAGACTCCAAATTATTATAGACTGTTGCTTCAGCCCTTTATTTCACCTCTCAGAACATGAAGGTAAAGCCAAATTACAGATGATAGAACATATTTCAGATATAAGACTTGAAACAATGGAGTTGGAACTAATCTGGATGCCTTCTCCATGAAGACTAGCACTTATAGTTTTATATGCAAGCTGCTAAAAGGGAAAAATCAATCAATTGTCCAACCCATATCCAGGGCCCAATAACCACAATGGCCCACACATCAAACTATCTCTATGGGTGCAGTAGTGAAACCTTTACCTAGGCGGTAATCAACAGCTATCTAGCTGGACTTAAAGCCCACTAAATGGGAAGAAACTCATAGATGGCACTGTAAATATAGCCCGATGCACTTGACTGAAGAGGTCATAGATCTCGAAGATGCTAAATACAGATTATTATTTTTACAGACAAGAATACAGTACACCATTCATCAAAGAATCTCCTTTATGTAACAGATGGAGACTGTTACAAAGTTTCACAACTGGTCACACATAGAGATTATATGTCTAAAAGATGCCCAGTCCTAAATGACACATCTACAGATGAACCTCTATGCCTGACTCATAAAACATAGGTGAACAGGGAATAGAGAGAAGACTAATACAGCCCTCAACGCTCAGCAGCAAAGCTTCCTCAAACAAGAGTGCGATACACACAGAAGGCCACGCCTAGCTAAGTTTCGTTGAACGGACGGCTACAATGTCCATGGGTAGAACTCCAATAGTAAACCTTACCGACCATCAGCTCAGGGACCATTGTGGAAGAGAGGGGGAAAAGAATGTAAGAGCCAGGGCTGGTGCATGAGCATAAACACACAGAGGCTTTCAGACTGCTCGGGAAATTGTTCATATGACCTTTCTAGGTGACAGCAAGGACAAGATCCAGGCCAACTCAACCAGACAAAATCCCAGAATAGAATGAAGGAAATGGGAAGCAGGCCTCAAATTTTGTAGTAGAAATATTGGCAACTGATTACTGTCAGGTGAGGGAGAGTAGATTTCTTTAAGAGTGATTCTACATAGGCTAACTAGGCTCCAGTGAATGAACTTAGTACATATATGAATGTATTAAATCCTGTTGAGGGTGTGTATGGGGTTCCTGGATATGGCAGGTGTCAAAGTTTGATTAAGATTTCCAACCCAGTTGAAAATTTTTCTTGAAGCAGTCTTTGCACCTCTATCTGCTTTTGTTCTTCTCTCTCCCCCTTTCTCTCTCTCTCTCTCTCTCTCTCTGCTTTTATTCCTCTCTCTCTCTCTCTCTCTCTCACTTTCACTCACCCTGGACCTTGCTCAGGTCTCAACATAACTAAGCAAGGATTCTGTGATCTCTTTTCATTGTTTCCTGAACATAGCAATTTCCATGATAACACTACTCACAAACTTTATTATTTTCCATGGTTTACCCAAGTAGATTGCATTCTATATGGTGCATAAATCAATGCTTCTTTGTTCTTTTGCACACTAGCACATAGTAGAGATCTAAATTATATTCTTGAATAAACTGATAATTTTTTAGCAGTTGCACATGAAATTCCTAGTATAACTGACAATATCCTAAAAGGATACTAATTTACCTGCCTGACAAAAGGGAAATCCAGGGACTTGTCAGTGTATGGGAATATATGAGTCTATAATAGAAAGAATGCTGTAATGCACTTTTTATATCTCACTTGCCAAATAAACAGCCCAAACAAAAGAAGCAATATCATTTTCTGAAAATTACAGAGGAATGCAAACAAGGAAAGGTGTGGTGTTACCTTAGGCAGAGGTTTGGCAGGTTTGCAGTGAAGTCCTCCCACAAATTCAAAATTTGGTAAGAGGGGACGAGGAAATTCTAAATCCCAATATGTTCGAATGAGCCACATATCTGCTTTTCCCATCATCTCAAATATTGTTGTGGGTCTCCCTGGAGCAAAACAAAAAATACAAAATGCAGAATAATGTGAGAATGTTGTCTAGAATACAGCGTGTGATTTTTGTAGGTGATCTGAAATAATAAAAACAAGGTCTTCACATATTTGAATTTTGATTAACATATCTATATATACGAATACAAATGTTAAGCTATACATAAATTAATTAAATTGTATCACAGCTTCAAAATAACAGCTGTTAATTTAGAAACTCCATGTTAT